GAAACACTAGGTAACTCCCATTACCTTTTCCCAGTTTAAAACTAACCAATTGGTTGGCAGTCTGAGTTTTTCCTCTTAAAAAATTGTCATGAGTTGGGAGTGGGGAGGCTGGGAAGGGATGTGAAGGGTAAACAAAAGGAGGCTGCAATGCTTGGTAAGAAATGTATGCATTATCCTGCCCATGTAATTGTAACCCCTCTGTACAGTATCTTCACAAATAAAAAAAAATTGTCATGAGTTTAAAGGTTTTCTAACGCAAGCACTAGCACTCTACCAAGAATCCAAGCTTAGCATCTTCATGCCTTTTTAAAAATGCATCCAATTGTAAAACAGCATTGAAACCAAATTACATCGCAGATAAACCTCCTTAAATTGGAAAAGTTTTAAAAGAGGGGTTAAGTACATTCCAAGGGGCAGGTTGAGAAATACCAATCACCCACTTTAAAATAAAGGTTTCCAGCATCCATCTGCAAGGAACAGACACAGGATGAAGATGGGCATATATATTGGACACCTTAAGGTTAGATGAACTGCCTTTGTACCAGTTTACCCTCTTCTACCATGCATGGACTCACCCCAGGGCCTGTCACCATGCATGGACTGGCTGAGCTCACCTTTTGCCAGAACACCCCTCACCCCTAAAGTTGGACCATTCTAAGTCTGTCCTGTCCTTTTTTGATCTGAGAAACCAAGCACTTGGGACAGCCAGAATGGGCCATTTTTTTGGCAGTGCTCAACAAACCTTCACACTTAAATTTGACACTTAGCCCCCAGTTTTAGCAGTGCAGGAAAAGTATCTGCTAAGCCAGATAACTTGATTACAGTGCCAATAGCCTTAAGCATTAACTTTGCAAAAGTCAAGAATCCGTAGAAACCTTTGTTTGTAGGTCTTGGGGCTTGAACTCTGAGCTTGTGAAGTACCCCGTTTTCGGATGCCCCCTCATAGACCACCAGAGACCACGATCAATGTAAACAGCAAAGAGTCGTTTATTGCAAGCTCGAGCTTGGTCCTCTGCACACTCGGCAACCGGTGACACTAAGAGGCCCCGAGCATAAAATCAGCACAGTTTTTTATAGTATTGAACAAACAATTTTAAGGAACTTTTACATAAGAAATTACATGATTGGTTAACATTTAAAGCAACCTAAGCTGGTCAAATATGATTGGTTGACCTTTACAGAAAAATATCCTTGGTCCGTAGCTTGACCAAAAACGATTATGAGTCACACCTGGACCAACAGAATGTATGGCATGTCTCGCCCTGGGCTCTGAAGAACCAGTTGGTCAGAAAATTATGTGGCTTTCCTTGGAACTGAAACTCTTAGCCCTAGGTCACTGGGGGGCAACACCACTTGGGGGCTAACATCTGCCTTAAGCAAACACCATCTATGGCTCCAAGAATTGTGCATGGCTTTCTGTCATAAACCCCTAGCATTAGGGCTAAAGTGGGCCATGAGTTAAGTCACAGAACTGAGATGGGGTCTTAAGTAAAATGGAATTGCTTAGGTTTTTCACTTGGGCACTGTCCCTCAGCTCTTCACCTCAAGGCGAGTGCTCTACCACTTAAGCCACAGTGTCACTTCCAGCTTTCTGATGTTTTATTGGAGATAAGAATCTCATGGAGTTTCCTGCCCGGGCTGGCTTTGAACTGAGCTCCTCATATCTCAGCCACCTGAGTAGCTAGGATTACAGACCTGAGCCACAGACCTGACTTAGAAAATCTTTTAACTAAAGGTCCTCTCTAAAACAATAATCCTTTGAGTTTGGTAACACACCCTATCTTGTTGACCTTCCTTAGAGTTTAAACTTAAACTCATTCATTTTTTATATCATGCTGACAGTTTTTTTAATCTCCAACATGTTTACATATATATACACACAGGTGCACAACACACATACCCTCTTATGCACAGAGATCTTAAAGCACACAGTTTTGGTACTTCAGGAGACATATTCTAAACATTTACACAATTATACAATATTTAAATAAAATCATTTGTTTTACACAAAAGAAATACCCTAACACAGTAGATTAGAGTCTTACAATGCTTTGACAAACAGCAATTGGATGCTTTAGAGTTATTTTAATGTACTGGTAACACATTTTCAATTAGGCAAGTTTAGATGTGTCTTCATATTGAATTCCTTCAACTCTGTCCTTTTCCAGGCCCCGTTTCGATGGTCACGGTAGCTAAGAAAGTCTTTTCATTGATGGATTCCAGAGTGGGGTCATTGCCTTTGTAGCTGCCATTTAAAACTAGAATTCTTTTTCCTGGTGTGGGAATTAGTCTCTAAATGAGTCTGGTCAAGTTTCACTCATCTCCAGAGTCCATCTTTACAACAGCTGGGTACTTGTCAATTATTTCCTTAACAAATGCAGCTCTGGCTTGACTGGCTGCACTGGTTTTCCACCCTTTTCTCTCTCCAGGGAGCCTCTTTTCAGCAAGTTTCTCGTATTCATCTTTGTCCCACTTTTGGTGAAAGTCCAAGTTTGTTGCCCCGCTGCTAGATGCCATCTTCACACAAAACTCCAAGATGATGCTTTTTTTTAAAAAACTGGTTACCAATTTTAATGGAATCGGGTGTTTACGCAATAAAACTTTATACATATTTGCAAACAAAACAACAAATACCACCTTACAACCTTTCTAGGAATTATAGAAAGTAGAGAGGATACCCATGTGGAGATTTTTTTTCAGTTGGAAGTAAAGATTAGTATTTTGGTCTTTTCACTTGAACCCCTTCAGCCTCCATCTTCTTCCTCTTCTCAATAATTACACTGATCTTCTTCCGCTGCCAATCAAGCTCTGCTTTGCCATTGGTTTCTTTAAGTCGCCTGGTTTTCCGTCCTTCAGACATCTTGATACCATACTGGAATGCAGCCTTGGGCAAAGCTTCCTTATTGCTAATATACGCGCTGTATTCCTCCTGGGTATCAAAGTCCCAGTGGCCTAAGGGGCCCTTCTTGTTACCCCGGTCCATTTTGCTATAATCCACCTCCTCGTCACTATCCACGGCCACGTCATCCACTGTGGCAGGATAGCACTCTGCATAACTGTTAGACATGCCAAAGAAATCACCCAGCTGCTTTTTGTCTTCTGGCTTCTTCAATGACTCAATGCCTTCCCAACTGGCAGACCCTGCAAACTTTTCATTGATAGCCTTGATCAAGTCTTTGGCAGACCCAGGTCCTTTGTCAACTTCCATGGGCTCAACATCCGCTTTTGGCTTCTCAAAATAGCTGTGCCTCTTCTTTCCTTGCTCCCTCTCTTGATCTCGTTCTCTCTCCCAATCCTGGTCCAGGTCTCTGTCTCACTCCCGTTTGCCGTATCTCTCTTGATTCTTGTCCCGAGGTGTCTTGGTTGTGGAGAACGCATAGTCCCCAATGCCGTCAAAAATGTTCATGTCAGCCTCAGGAGGCTTCTTCTCTTCCATCTTCCCTTTATCCTTCTTGAGCTTCTTGTTGCGGGTACCCAGCCTCAGGTATGAAAGGATCTGAGTGAGTTTGCTGATGACAATGTCATTTGTTGTCAGCGTGGTCTGGGCCTCCATGGTTGGGCAATCAGCCTTGCTACGGATAAGTGTGGTGGGAATATCTGTATCCCCATACTCATCGTCCAGGTCCACCACATAGGCCATGCGGCCTGGCAAGAACAGCTCATTCCGCTCATCGGCTTTGCTCTTAAAAAGCGTATGATACACATTGCGGCCAAGACGAGTTTTAAATTCAATTTTGTTCTCAGGATCCTGATCTTTCTTGGTTTCCTTTTGAGGTTTCTCCATCAATTCCTCTTCCTCTTTGCTGGCAATCTCAGCTCGTACCTTTTGAAGAAGAGCAAAATCCAAGCCTTTGACCAAGTGGGTGTGCTCCATGTCACCACCCAAAAATTTGGACTCCTGGATCAACTGTCTTTTCTCTGCAGCTGATTTGTCCACCTCTGCTGTGGGGCCCACAACCCTATAGTTGGCTGCGGTGCTAATCGGCTTGGTTTCCTCATAATCTTTCTTCACACCATCTCTTCGTTCCTTGGCACGGTCCCGGTACTTCTCTGCTAGCTCGCTCGCTCTCTCAATTTCTTGTTGGCGTAACTTAGCATAATAACTTCTCTTTTTTCTCCTTCGGGCAGCTAGATCTTCATCCTCATTGTACTCTCTTGACATCTCATGGTGACATGACTTAGAAGGTAGTGCAGAGGTAGGTGCAGCCCTTGGGGTCATGAAAAGTTTCCTGAAATCTTCATTGGTGAGTTTTGATTGGACAGGAGCATCCACATCATGGCCATCTGGAGCCAAAGGGTTGGAGAACGGTTCACTGTCCCACTCCGGCATTTTCTCCGCAGTCTTTCCACAGAAGCAAGCACCAAATCTCCAAGACGATGCTGTGAAACAAAAGACAATCAAGAGCTTATCAGGGAACTTTATTCCTTTGTTCTAATGGTCCAAGTATGAGCAATTTTCAATCTGACTTGGAAGCTTTTTCGATACTAATGAACCAATACTTTGCGAAGGTCTAGACTTCTATTGCTTTCAGTTAATGGTTACAAGAAACCAAAGAAACATAGCTTATGGTAGTGTCTCAAATTTCCATGTATCATTGGTCATCTTTAAAGTGCCTTGTCTTGGGTTTATAGCTGAAAGGAACTTACCTCCAAGGGCCACACAGACAAAGTCACGTAGATTGTGGGAACTTGGCCTTGTCAGCTCTGCTGGTAATGGACCTTTCTACTCCAAGGTAAAAGGGAAATGCCTTGGTGTGTCTTTGAAGACTCTTATTTATATAGGGATGCGGGCGGGGAAGTGGGAGGGGCCCATTGCCCCACCTGCCCCAGAGATAAAGTCATCAAGAGCCCAGTTTAGGTCTGGGAGGGGCCTTTTGCTGACTTAGAAAGCTACTTGCAAGAGAGGCCAGGAGAAGTCCTTCACACTCTTTCTGTCCCATCCTAGGAGAAACTGATTCTGGAAGAGTAAACACTGATACAGCCACCAGAACTTTCAGGCACACAATTGAACATTAAGCCAGAGTCCTTTTCAGAGAAGGGAATATTCGCTTCAATTATGTTGAGTATGAGAATCTAACTAGAACTAGGTATCAATTTGAGACTGATACACTTAAGTAACTGATATTGACAGAAGTTGACATCCAAAGGTAGAGACTGCTGATAAAACTCAGACTTTAGACTAGTTTCTAAAAATGGTAAGAATGCAAAGACGCAAGAATGTTATTGACTCTGCTCACAGAGGTGAGTTTATCCTTGGCTCATTGAATCTACTAGCTTTATAATATGACAAAGTCTTCAATGCTGCTGCAGGAAATACTGGAAAGTCAAATCTTGCCTAGTGATGGTTTTGTCTCTAATTGGATTTGTACTGATGAG